TCTGTATTTGAAGAAACCATCTGATGAAAATTTTATTTTCAATCTGTTTTAACTGGTCCTTTTACCGCATCATGAAAATGGATAACAAATGAAGTAGTGTTAAAAGATTGATCCACGCCACGAATAAAGATCATTTGGCGGTCACCTCTTTATTATACAGCTTATTCAAAACACAGTGGCTTTCTACTTTTTATTGTCATGCAAAATAAAAAATTTCATCATGGATATGTCTGGTGCCGTTACTGTTGCTACTAGCGTTACTAAGACTGTCGTAGTCTAGTTTCAGATGTGGAAATTTGGGAAAGATGATAGAAACTTTTTTCCAAGTTTGCTTTTCAAGGTTGAACAATCAACATTTATATGAACAAAAAAAATCATGAGGAACAGAGAAGAGAGAGTAAAAAGGTTTTTGCTCTAGTTCCGGAAAGAGTTGAAAAATGTGGAATGGCAGTAACTAATGACAGATATTATGCAGCAAAGAAGAAGTAAGATGCAAAATTTTTCTGTTTTTGTAAATAACTCTTTATTCTAACCCTTTATTCTCTTTTTCTTTTCTACAGGGCTGAGGGTAGGAAGGTCAAATTCAGGTTAATAATTTAAAATTAACTGTTGGAAAGGGTAAGTGGAAAAAATTGTGGAAAAAATTGGATAGCAGACGGTACCTATAGAATTGAGTATTTTCTGCTTTGGTTAACAATCGTTGGCCTTTTATCGAGGTGGTTTGTGCAGATTGTACTAAACTATTAGAGTTTTAATGAACACAGTGTAACATGGTATGCGGGAAATGAGGGGTTTTTTTACTGGAAAAAACTTGTGAAAATTATTCTGGTTTTTTATTTCTTGAGAGGACTGCTAAGTTTGTTCTGTTTGCAGTTACTTAAGGGTGAGGGAAGGATAAAAGATAAGTTTTTTTTGGTGTGTATACAATTTTGGCATTGCTTGCACTGTGATAGATCTGAAAGTTTCATGCTACAAATTCTGAAATTTAAAGTTCCAAGTAGTTTTTATTTATGTGGTAAAAATTCTAACTGGTTGGAAAGAGGTTTCAGAAAATACTAGATTCATTATGGCTTTTCAGAGAAACAGTTGATCTCAATAATTTTTTAGCTTCTTTTTTATTCAACTTTTGAAGCTTTCTGTACAAAGTGTTCTGGAAAAGCTGAGGTTACGGTTCTGATGTTGTTTTTTTTTCTCTGCAGTGAAGCTGAATAATTATTAATTTTTACATTAATGACGTTTTCACACCATATTTGTAGTTTAGATTGTCGTTTAGTTTTCTAAATATTAAGAAATAGAAAAAACTGCATCTTTGGAAACTTTTTTGGCATTTGTAAGAGATTTCAATTTTATTTTTTGAAAAGGTTCTTCGTGTTTTACTGGAATTGGCGGTTACCTCAGTATTTTTTGTGAGATGCACGAGCAGTAGCAACATTAAAAAACGGAATAATGCAGAGATTTTGAATGTTAATTTCGCGATTTTTTTTCAGAAAATAGTTGAAGATTAATCAGTTTAACGTTAGAAAAAAATCGCCCGTTTTGTTGAACAGTTTTGCCTGTTCTGCTGCTGATTTGGTTTATTCTACCGAGATTGACGAGGTTAGCTTGGGATTTAGAATGGCATCTAGGGATTACCAGCGTCTATCCCTGTTGACAACCACACTGTTACCAAAAACCCGTGATACTGAGTGAAAGAATCTGTCGGAAGAGAGGAATTTTTAAAATTTTGTATAGTGTAGTATGGGAGTTAGCTATTTTAGATTTTCAGATTAGTCCGGTTTGTAATTACTACTAAATAATAGGATCCTTTTGCTGTTTGCAGTGCTGCCTCTACGACATTTAGCAAAAATGTTTAACTCATAACTACTAATCTTCAGTTCCTTTTTTATTCTTATTTATTTCTCTTTTGGAAAGGGGTGTGAGGTTGAGAGAAAAGATTGAGAGTTGGGAATAGAGGAGGATAAAAAGAATCTATACTTACAGATAAAAAAAGTAGTGCCAATCTGAAGAAAAAAAAAAGTAAAACAATCTCCTATTCACAAACGATTTTTTGCATTTCTTTGGCTGATTTTTCTCCCCTTTTATTTTTTTCGTCTGCTATTTACTAAATAACTTTTTAGGTTATTTTTTAGTTTTTGCTTTCTAATCAGTTTGCTATGGCCTCCCAAATGTGTCCTTAAAGATCACACAAAAATAAATGAAAAAAAGGGATTTGGATTTGTGGAGAAGCGAAAGTGTCGCCAAGAGGGAGTTTCAGTTAGCGTAGATCAAAAATATCGAATAGAGTTCAGAAGTTCTTTGAACTAAATGATTGGCAGGGCTTACTTATGCCGTTATTATTGCTAGTGCTGTTGCTGTTATCAAGTATATTTGTGAGAATGTGTCTGACTAAGTTTTTCTAAGTTCTCGGAGATGTAGTTCAGTTGACTTGAAATCGATGGACATACAAGTTCAAAATCACACATATTTTCTAACAACAATGATCATCCCAACGTTATCTCCAAGGCATTCATTCTTTCGTTTGTTTGTATGGCAGATTGTTCTGCGGAATCTTTTTTTAGCTCATCCAAACATGTTGTTATTCACTTGTATAGTTCAATTTGTTAGTGGCAAGCACTAGTGTTGAAGACACGTAGATCATCGATTGTTGACAGCAGCAACGGGAATAGAAAAGTACTACACATTTGTAAAAAGTTTGGTAAACAAACAAATAACAAAAAAAGTGACTGAAAGATAATAATCGGTAAGGGGAAAATTTCGCAGGAAACAAAGTAAAGTCTGATGAGTTTTTGTGTTTTCAATTCATTTGGTTCAACGTTGGTTCATTTTTTTGTCTATATTTCGCTTAACTCCTGAGCAGCACACTAATTGCTGCGCCAACGAGCCTTTAGAAAGGAGTAAGGGAAAAAACGAAGGGTGAAATGAGGGGGAAAGAGGAAAGAGGAAGAAGAAAAAGAAAAAAAGCTGTAATAAGCTTATAGGGATGGGTGGTGATGAATAACGTTTGGTTGCAAGATGACTTCTTTTCTTCCTTCTCCACGTTGCATACTTCGTGATTTAAGACGGTTGCCTCTTCATTGCTTTATGTTATTTATTTGTTAACTTTTCCTTCTCTGTTATTCTTTCTTTTTCTTCTTTGATGGTCAATAACTAAAAATAAATCTCTCAAAAAAATCTTTTTTTTCAGTATCACCAAAAAGTTTGATATTTTTTTGTGTAAATATGGCCGCAGGTATACTTTTGGTTTTCTTTTCCCTTTTATTTTTTTAATTTGCTTTGCCCTATCTTGTATGGTTAAAACTAAAGGAGGGAATTTAGTCTTGTGCAGTATAGGTCGGTTTTATTTGTCAATCGGAAGGCCAGAAGCTAAAATAAATTTTAAGACAAGTTTGTACATTATAAGGAGGATAGAGCGTTCTATTGTTTTTACTTCGTATTGTTACTTTATGGGGTTGCATAAGAATTGGAAATGAAGGAAAGAATGAACGTTGAGATGTTCACTGCGTTGCTTCATAAAACGTTACTGTTTTGGGTATCAATGTTTTTCTGAATTAGTGGATAAATTAGGTAGGACTTGTCTGCCAACTGCTTCATTTACTTGCATTCTGGACTTGCAATTTGATCAAAACACAGTTTATGGTCGAAGCATACAGATTACACTATAACCGGAATTTTACTATCAATCATTTACTATATGATTACTGCTGATATCAGTGAAATGGCAGGTATCCAATTAGGCCTAAACACTGAAACTTAGTGCACAGTTCCATAACAGATGCTAGAGGTTTTGGTGTTTTGTCTAATTTATCCATTATCCATGGACAACCACTGAAAGTTTTTTACGGAGATGACAATAGTTTTTCTGGATGCTTTTTAAAAAGTACGGTTGTGATGGTGACGATTACCAGATTTTTAAAATAGTTTTTTGCTTTTATAGCAACTTTACCGAGTTGTACATATTGTCTAAATAACCCTTAGTAGAACTCATAGCTCTATTCCTCATATTTTTTACTTTTACCGATGAGTTACAAGGAAATTATAGTGTTTTCGCTTTCCATTTTTCGTCTTCATTTTTTGAGTCAACTCTGCGTTTTGTTGCATTACGCGAAGTCTATTCGATGACGTAATTCGGTTATTGGTGTTCGCTTGGCTTTTTTGATTCTCAAGGAAGACCCGAATGTTTCAAAATGCGTTAACAAAATTTGAGTCAAATGAGTTTGGGCGAGGGAAGGGGTGGAAGGGAGAGAAGATTATCGGTTTACTGTAAATGTAAAGTGTTTTTTCCTTTAGAATTTGTAAAGGGAAAGAATGAAGAAAAAAAGGAAAAATATTTTGAAAATAATGGTGTGGTTTTTTTGATATGGGTAACAGATATCTGTGGTTAATTTGTCGGCTTCTTTAATTTTTTGTTGCTGTTGTTAAAAGCGTTTTAGCATGAAGGCTTATTTTTTTTTTTCAAAAAGGTTTGGCCAATAAAGAAAATTCTCTTTGGAAAATAATAATACGTCCAACAGTGACTTTGTCGTCGTTGCCTTTGAAGTCTTAATCTCTAAAAATGAAACCAATAAATATTTAGCCTGAAATATGCAAGTTGTTCATTCAGTCGTATTAATGCAAAATCTGAGTGCTTGAGATTTCTTTAATAATGTTCATTATTTATTGGTTTTGTTTTTGATATAACTTTAGACTAAGTTTTTCAGTGTGCCAGTAGAATTTTGGGAACACTATTGACATTGTTGTCTTTTCGTCTTCTTCATGTTTTTTTGTATCACTTTTCAAAGATCTGCAAAATAAATCATTTGAGCTGTCATAGGGAAGGAGAAAAGTTTTTCTTTGACTGTTTTGAAAACTGAGGAACAAATGGCCTGATCTGAATTAGAGTGCGGAGGGGAGCTGGAACCGTTTTGAGTGAAGACAGTGATAAGGGGTCCTTTGGAAAACCACCGTAATTGACTAAAATTTTTTTTACATTTTTTAAATAAATTTAGCCGACTTTTGCCTGTCTCCGTTCTTCACTTTTTTTCTGCTATCTTACTACACGGGTTATCGTTTACGCTTTATCTGCTTTCATAAGATAGTGAAAAAAGCTGAGAAGGTTTCTGTGAAAACGGTTAGTAAATATTAATAATACTTTAAAATTAAAAATTAGGAATTATGCAGAAATTTGGGGCAGTGTGTATTTGAGAATTTTTTGTAGTATTGAGGGAAGAGAGCTGAAGACAGAGGTTTAGTGTAGT